AAAAGAGAGTAAAAAATTTTTTTTTTTATATATATATATATATATATATATATATATATATATATATATATATATATATATATATATATATATATTCTGACACCTAAAAACCTTAAGCCTATTAGGTTATGAGCTATATTTAATATATAAAATCTCACTCTTTTAATCCTTAAAGATGTGACACTATTCTCTTGATCCATGTCCTTCGTTTCACACATACGAATATTTTTAAAAATCATATATATAATCAAAATTATCTTATTATAAGCATTATAATCCTAGTTTATGATTCTTATTTTTAAAAAATAAAGAACTTTAGATATGATGGGGCATGATGCTAATTGCTAGCCAATGTGAATGTTACAGCATTTTGGCCATGAGATTGCCTGATTAGAGCGTTCAAGGAATGATATAGCCTGACTCATCCACAGGAAGATATGGAAATCACAAGTATGGTGTTTGGCTTATATGAGCAGCAAGCCAATCCCATTGTCTCGATCCTAAAAGTGGACCCAACTCCTTTGGCGACGAGATAAAGCTGGTATCGCTGTCTGGACATGAACAGCAGTAGCTACGTGCTAAGATAGCAGCATATTTCGTCTCTCTTTTTTATCAGTTTATTGCTACATCTATCCTCGCTATATGTCCCTCTTGCGGACGTATCCACCCGGACATTAATGGCCTTTGTACCCACCTTGACAAACACACCTCTGGTTGCAACTCCCCTCGCTTTCTCCCGTAGGGAACCGATCCACGGCCCTTTTCTACTCACCACATTGTGACAATGTACCAGAAGATGATCTTCCAGGTTTTGTCTCCGTCTACTGTTGCAATGTCGACAGCATTTTAACTCTTCTTTATCGTCCCTAAACACTATTCAAACCTTTTTTCCAATTCCATTTCCTATTATTTCCGGCCCATTTTTCTCAATTGGTGCCATCTCTCAGTATGGATATCTAATGCCTGCCCACCTTCATCTTTCTACCTACACTATCGAGGTAAGCAGGCATTAAACCAGGAGCTCCAGATTCCAGCAAAAGTACTTAGGCTCGGAACAGCACATTTTCTACTAGTATTGAGTTGGCGTTGCACACAGAACAAAAGACAAATGCTCTGCCATTTTTCCGGCCACAAGACCGTGGAGAGTGACGAACAAGATGATGCACGAACCTGCCACTACATAAACAAATTACAAAAGCAAACAGAAGCTTGTGCGCACGCACCCTCATGCACCAGCACCTCCACAGGAACATAACTACAAGAAAAGGAGTTAATGTTTCTCTCTCACCTAACCTTCGACACCCACAAACCTTTCTTAAATTATTGTCTTGAGCAGGTAAATTTCTAACTTATCTCTTCGATTCATAAGCTTCTGCTATCTATCTAAAGTTGACACCTTTTAGTTGCTTTAGCCTTAGTTTATGAAGCTCCTATATATTCATCAACCTACTTTTCCCAACTCTTGTACATAGTTAGAGAGGAACAAGTAAGAAGTGGCCGCCCTCAACCTTCCGCTCATGCTGCTTGTCGGTGATCAACACTACTTATGGTGATTCAGGCTCAAAATAATCCCAACTGCTACTAGAGTATCAAGGGGCATATGAATCTGACAATTATGAGACCATCACATCTCCTAAACGTTTTCTCCTTTCACAATGAAACTAACAACCCAAGCATTTTGTAGCACTTTTGTTAAACCTAAATAGAACAAGAATGCAATTGTTGGAGGGACGTTTGGTCGTCCACTACAACAAAACACTGTAAACATGCAACTGACGTGTGGGTGTACCACCGAGAGCCAGGTATCACCAGTTAGATACTTTTTTTATTTGGAGCGTTTCAGAATGGAGGCCCTGGGGAATAAAAAAAATAGAAATGAAGAAACAGAAATCGCCTGAGGAATGACCAAGAAATTTAATCCATCCATTGCTTTCCCCTTGAGAAGAGGAGAAAGCAAGGACGGCTGCTGGGCCAGTCATCAAACCAGGTGATCTCAGCAGGAACGGACGCGAGGGCCACGCAATGTTGTCAAACTGCAAAGCGTTGCCGCTTCTTTCAACTTCAAATCCCGAGGTTCATCTTGCTGTTGACACACACTGGGATGCAAGTGTCAAAGCACTGTCAACCTCGTCGTCTGTGAGAGTTGATCTTCTTGGGCCTGGGGATGGTTTCTTTGCTAAGAATACGCATGTCTTACGAGGTTTCACCACCGGAGGAAAAAGAAAGGAAAAAATGAGTGACCGCAGAGGGACGAAAGCCACTCGCACTCCACGTTAGCTGATCCAAACCATGGTTTTGGAAATGTCATTTCCCAGGAGACTGTATGCCCACAGATGCACGAGTCCATGTGTCACCGGACAAAATTCGAACGTATCTTCCAGTTACGCAATAAAACGGCAGTTGCACACCTCCCGTCTTTTCGGCCAAATCTCTCTTTACTGCCTGTCATAATCCACACTGTGCGTGTATAAAATGGCTCATGACGTTGATCCACTCACTATAATCACAGTGAAGAATCACTGTAGTTTCTCTAACGCGAAAGTGAGGCATTTGATTGCACCGGAGGGGGCAACCCCGGTCACAAAAGGTGTTCAAATTGTTGATTTATATAAATTGAAATTTTCTTATTGGATGATCATAATACTTTTCAAGATCGAAAATTTTATCAATGGAAGAATATTATTATTATTATTATTATTATTATTATTATTACTTTAAAAATATAAAAGTGGACAATTATCTCATTTTATACTATAAATAAATGTAGAAAATCTTTTGATAATATGGATTTTTATTTATTAATGATTATGATCTTATATATTGATAATTCCTCATTGGTAGTAAAATATTGTTTTAATGTATCGATAAAAAACATATAATTTTCTAGAAAGAGACTGTAGAGTGTACCCCATGTAACTCTCATTTCCACACGAAACTATGCCAGTATAATTCTCATTACCCGACGCTCATGTTATAAACCAAGAATTCAAGAAAAGCTAAATTCAAACCTTTGACGTTGAGGTGGGAGATTGGAGTTCGTGGGTTGACTGATTGTGTCGTCAATGCTCCCGTGATAGCGGGGAGCAACACGCCACCAGCTCAAGCGTGACCCACTAGCTCCTCCACAGGTGGTTTTGACCCCTAGAATCTATTCCACTCATCTGGTTGCACCTACTCCGTGCGTCCAAAAACCTAGCGATCCTTACCAAAAGAATATTGCTACAATTTTATTGCTTTATTTATTATTTTTTCCTGTAGGTTATTGATTGTCTAAAGAGTGAATAGCAAATAAATCAAATTAATGAATTAATATACATCAAGTACAATACCAATTCAACATAAAAGATTAGGCTTTAGGTTGTGGGTCCCAACTCTCAATCCTTACCATGTTAGTCGATCTTCTTCCATCTCACATAAATAAATATTTTCTACATATCTCTCATACTCGATTAGAGATTAAAAATTTCAATATAGATTTCCTATGAATATCATAATTATTTGAAATGATATATGTGAATTCAATTTAAAATTGAAACATATATGAATATAGAGGTCATATACATGTAAGATAATGTACAAAAACTAATTAAAAAATGGGACATCAAATTTTATTTCTCATAGTAGAAAATATTTAAAAATATTAAAAAAGAAAAAAAAATCTTTGGATATATACATATTGTAGGATATACGTGTAGC